TTTATAATTGGATTATTTGTTTCTTACATGTTGAGTTCTATAAGTTTTAAAATATATTTTGGATACTAACTCTTTATTGGATGTCATTTGTAAATATCTTCTCCCTTTCAGTAGGCTGCCTTTTAGTTTTGTTTCCTTTGCTGGTGTAGAAACTTTTTATTTTGATGAAGTCCCAATAGTTTATTTTTGCTTTTGTTTCTCTTGCCCCAGACTTATTTAGTAAGAAGTTGCTATGGCCGGTGTCAATGAGGTTACTGCTTGTGTTCTCTACTAGGATTTTTATGGTTTCAGATCTCATATCTAGGTCTTTAATCCATTTTGAATTTTTGTATATGGGGTCAGAGAATGGTCCAGTTTTCCCAACACCATTTGTTGAACAGACTGTCTTTAGCCCATTGGATACTCTTTTATGCTTTGTTAAAGATTAATTGACCATATAATTGTGGGTTTATTTCTGGGTTTTCTACTCTGTTCCATTGATCTATGTGTCTGTTTTTGTGCCAGTATCATACAGTTTTGATGACTACAGCTTTGCAGTCTAACTTGAAGTCCAGAATTGTGATGCCTCCAGCTTTGCTTTTTCAAGATTGCTTTGGTTACTCAGGGTCTTTTGTAGTTCTATACAAATTCTAGGATTTTTGTTCTAGTTTTGTGGAGAATGCTGGTGGTATTTTGGTGTTAATTCCTTTGGGTAGAATAGACATCTTAACAATATTTGTACTTCCAGTCCATGGGAATGGAATGTCTTTTCGTTTCTTTGTGTCTTCTTCAATTTCTTTCATCAGTATTTTATTCCTAGGTATCTTAGTATTTTTGGAGCAATTGTAAATGGGATTTTCTTAATTTCTCTTTCTGCTGCTTCATTATTGGTATATAGAAATACCACAGATTTCTGTACATTGATTTTGCATCCTGTGACATTACTGAATTTGTTGATCACTTCTAGTAGTTTTTTGGTGGGGTCTTTTGGGTTTTCTATATATAGTGTCATGTCATCTGTAAATAAGAATATTTCACTTCTTCCTTACTGATCTGGATGCCTTTTATTTATTTTTGTTGTCTGATTGCTGTGGCTAGGACTTTCAGTATTATGTTGAATAACAGTGGGGAGCGTGGACATCCTTGTCTTGTTCCTAACCTTAGAGAAAAAGCTGTTTTTCCCCATTAAGGATGTTAACTGTTTTTCATAGATGGCCTTTATTATACTGAGGTATGTTCCCTCTGAACCTACTCTGTTGAAGACTTTTATCATGAATGAAGGTTGTACTTTGTCAAGTGTTTTTTGTGTCCATTGAAATGATACGGTTTTTTTTTTTTCCCTTTCTCTTAATGTTGTATCACATTGATTGATTTGTGAATATTGAACCAGCCTTGCATCCCAGGAATAAATCCCACTTGATGGTGATGAATGATTTAAAACAAAACAAAACAAAAGCACAAGATTTTGAAGTCCTTGATAATTTTTAAGAGTATAAAGAGTACCTGAGACCAAGAAGTTTGAGAACTGCTGCTTTAAGGGTCTCTGGTCCCTTTGCTATAGATTCCAGAATCTTTTGCATATTGCCCTCAGTGTTTTGCAGGCCACAGTGAGAGAGGCAAGGACTCAGCCTTGGTTAAGAGAGAGTCAGCAGGGTAGTGGGAGAAGAAGAGCCAAGTGCCTGACTCAAAGCCAGGCAACCTGGTCTGTGCCTCTTTGCCAGGAAACCGAATGTTCCAGTGTTGCTGGGGGAGGGAGGCGCTGGGACTGAGGGTGACAGGTGGACTCCCTGTGTGATGTACCCACAATAACCACTGGTTTGATCACCCACTTGCATTGTAAATTCTCACTTCCACTACTCTTCACAAGAGGGACTTAAGATTTTTCTTTCATGTCTAGTTGGCTTAACCACTATTGGATATTTTGTTTTTATTTCGGGTCATTTCAACCTCCTGCTCGTCCCACTGCCAAATTTCTGATGTATCTTTGACATGCAGGGATGCGCTTCACAGCTTCACACTGTCTGCTCCCTCCTCATCCCTGCCAGCAGCTATTGGTGCTCCTGGGGTGTTTGTCATTTGCCTATTAATTACATGCGTTGTGTCTGCCCCCATTCACTGCACTGAGTAAGTGAGCAGTAAGTAAGTCAGCAGTAACTACATAGCAGGGGAAGGTTTAGGGAGATACACAAACAGGGCTTGTGGAACAAGAAAACTGGTGGTGGGGGGGGTTGAGTGTCATAGTATTTGTATGACAAACACCCACGGGAAAATACCTTATCTGACAACCCTCCTGTGCCTGTACTACTTTGTTAAAAGTGATAAGGAAAGGGACGTTTTTGATCTTACTGCCCTTTACTGAATATCTTGTCAGAGTAAAGCTAGAGAAATCATTGGACAGGGACAGAGTAAATTCTTTAAATGTCAACTAACGTTTCTACCCTTTATGCTTATATAAGAAAATCAACAGCGTAAGTGCTGACACCATTACTTTAAAGATAATTACTTAAAAATATTCAAGTTATATGTTCTAATTAGCTGCTTATTGTAAGGGAGAATGTTGAGGTTGACAAAGGGCTGAGTTTATGTACTGTTTTTTGGAGCAGCTCAGAGCGGTTCATTGTGATGATTGGAAAGGCCTTTTTTTTTTACATGGGAAACTAATTGTTTTGACAATAATTTAGCAGGAATTAGGCCAAGAAAAAGTTTGGATAGCCCTTTAGTGATTAATTGCCCATTCCCAGTCATTCATCATACATTTTTCTCCCTACTTGTGGTACTTACATAATGTCTGGTTCTGATTTATGTAGTCTGAAGAGGCAGCCTGGAATGATCTGAGTACTGTGTGTGTGTGTGCACGTGCATGTGTAGGAAAGAGAGGGAAGTGAAAAAAAAACACTTGAATGAGGACAGGTGAGAGGTTTGATGGACAGTGACTTGTTTTCACTTTTTAATTTTGAAGAAAAATCAAAATATTTGACATGCTATAATTTGGGCCAATTTTAGGCAATAAATGTAAAATATTATAAACAAAACTCTGTCATGGAAAAATAAGTTATCTATCATGAGCCATTCAACTACTTGGTAACCACTTTTTTTTTTTTTTTTTTTTTTTTGTCAGTATTACAGAAGACACCTTTTGGTAAAAACCAGGTTTACCCTCAATGACCTGTTAAGTCGCTTGTGCTCATTTTCATAATTTTTTTTTAATAAATGGAAATGTGTACATCTTCATTCCCTGTACCTATTTTGCCCATCCACCCAGCCCCTTCCTTTCTGGTAACCACCAACTTTGTTTTCTGTATGTAAGAGTCTGTTTCATTGTTCATTTGTGTTTTAGATTCCACATATAAATGAAATACAATATTTGTCCTTCTCTATCTCATTTAGCATAATATTCTCTAGGTCCATCCTTGTTGCAAATGGCCAGATCTTATTCCTCTTTACGGACGAGTAATATTCCAGTGTATATACATATACCACATCTTTATCCATTTATCTGTGGATAGACACTTAGGTTGGTTTGATATCTTGGCTATCATACATACTGCTGCAGTAAACATAGGGGTGCATATATCCTTTCAAATTACTGTTTTCATTTTCTTTGGTAAATAGCCAGTAGTGGAACTACTGGTATTTCTATTTTAATTGTTCGAGGAACCTCCATATTGTTTTCCACAGTGGCTATACCACTGCATTCCCCGCCAACAATGCACAAAAATTACCTTCTCTCCCTACCCTTGCCAACATTTGTTATTTCTTGTCTTTTGATCCTTTCATTCTGGCAGGTATAAGGTGATATCTCATTGGATTTTGATTTACGTTTCCCTGATGAGCGATGTTGAGCATCTTTTCATGTATATTTTGGCTATCTGTAAGTCTTCTTTGGAAAAATGCCTACTCAGGTCCTCTGCCCATTTTTTTTTTTTTTTACTGGATTATGTATTTTTTGGTTGTTGAATTGTAGAAGTTATATTTTAGATTAGTGACCTGTTATCCAATATATAATTTACAAATATCTTCTCCCATTCAATAGGTTGCCTTTTCATTTTGTTGATGGTTTCCTTTGCTGTGCAAAAGCTTTTTATTTGATGTAGTTCCAATAGTTTATTTTTGCTTTTGTTTCCCTTGCCTGAGAAGTCAGGTCCATCCAGAAAAATGTTGCTAGGGCTGATGTCCAAGAGATTACTGCCTGTGTTTTTTTTCTAGGATTTTTATGGTTTTAGGCCTTCAATTCATTTTTGTGTATGGTGTAAAAAAGTGGCCTAGTTTCATTCTTTGCACGTAGCTGTCCAGTTTTCGCAGCACTGTTTGTGGGGGGACTGTCTTTTCTTCATTGTATACTCTTGCCTCCTTTGTTGTAGATTAATTGACCATATAAGTATGGGATTGTTTCTGGGCTATCATGTTCCATTGATCTGTGTGTGTTTTTGTCCCACTACCATACCATTTTGATTACCATAGCTTTGTAGTATATCTTGAAGTTTGGGATTTTGATACCTCCCTGCTTTGTTCTTCTTTCTCAAGATTGCTTTGGCTATTTGGAGTCTTTTGTGGTTCCATATAAACTATGATTATTTGTCCTAGTTCGAAAAATACTACTGGTATTTTGATAGAGATTGCATTGGGTGATATGGATATTTTATCTCTCCATTTGTGTCTTCAGTTTCTTTCATTAGTGTCTTACTATTTTCAGAGTACAGGTCTTTCACCTTTTTGGCTAAATTTATTCCAAGATATTTTATTGTAATATTCCTTTAAAATTATTAAGGAACTCTAATTTGAAAGTATATTTAAGATCTCTTTCTTGGCAGTCTCAAAGCTTAAGCCTAGACATTGTGGTGTTTTAACGGGAACAAATCCCTCCCCCTCTGCACCCCCGTTTTCTGCACTTGATAGCAAGCATGATGGTCAGATTTGTTACAGTAGTAATTAAGCGCTGGAAGAAATGGGACACTGGCCCCACGCAGATTGTGCCTTTGCTTGGATCAACTGGCACTGAAGGTGTCTTTTTCCCTTTTCAGGCTTCAGGCTGTGATGGGTCGGAGATTCCGGACGAAGTGAAGCTGATCGGGTTTGCCCAGTTGAGTGTCAGCTGATGTATGTCCCTTGACATCTCCCCCTGATTTGTCATGCCCCCACCTCACACCATTTCCCTCGATCTTCCTCCCCCACCCCTACTCCCTCCCCCTCACTCCCAATTCCCACAAAATCAGAAGATTGTGAAGAGTCTGGCTTCAGTGACATGGGATAAAAAAGAATTTTTTTAAACTTACAACACTCCGAGTTCTGCTTTATTCTCTAGCAATCCACAGTATGAGAACAAGCAAATGCCACAGCTGCACGACTGTTGCTAATTTTTCCAAAAGCTATTTAATATTCTTAGCAATCAATTCGGATATCCCTTAAGTGAAAAGAATCTGAAATACACTCAGGTGGTCCTATTTATTGGCAACAAAAGGAATTTTTTCTATCAGAAGCCTATTTCTTCTTTCATTGTTGTTCTGTTCTACTTTAATTGTACATCTGACAATACTGCCTCTTTTATGTTGTATTTAGAAATTAATATACTTATAAAATTAAGATTTATTAGTCAAACTTGAATTCTAGTTTTAAAACTGACTGTGAATTTTATTTTTCATATATTTATGCATTACACACCTTAGCTATAAGAAGAAAAGTTTTTGATTATATGCTTCTTGCAGTTAATCTCTTGTTATTTAAACAAAAAAAATCAGGTCTATCTTTGGAGTATTTATAACTTTTGATTTTTGAAATGACTGAATTAGGAACTTAGATGCTTATTCTTTTGGTTTGTTTGCCTAAAAACCAATCCACAATCTGATTGTCTCTTGGGATAGGGAGGTGCCTTGCAAACTTTCATATTAAGAATGTGCCTGAGGCTGCTTTACTCTGGAATAGTCTCAGATCTAAAACTTCCTCTACATAAAGTGGCATATGTAAGTTTTGCTTCATTGGAACATATAGAATGCTATATAAAATGTTGCCATTCTATTAGACTGCTAATTATGTACCCATCTCTGATTTGACTTCTCTGTGATAGGATTTGTTATTCCAAAGGTGATAAACTTGAAGATACCAGAATCTGAGTTTTACTTGAAATTCTGCAGAATACCCAGATGGAGTGAAAAATAGAAAGGGTTTTTGTGCAATGACTAAAAAAAGGTAAAATGCTGTTAAGTTTCAAGAATAAATACTTTCACCCAAGTAGCCCTCTGCTTGACTATATATTAAGGAATAGTAAACCTTAGGATTTTCAAAATTGGAGTCTAAACTTTCAGGGAGGTGGGCTCCCAGGATGGTACCATTGCTCTTTCCTAGCTAACCCTAGATATGGCAGCTCTTTAATGTACTTTAAAAAGCAAATATATATTACTAAGGAAAGAAAAGTTATTTATAATTGCCTTGTCATAATTGTTAAGGTGTTCTAGAGCCATTTGCATACAACTTAATGTAATTTCATTCCATTCTATTGTTTACACAACAATTACTCAAAGATGACTGCAAAGGTAAAAGGAAAATAAAAGTGTATTGCACAAAGAGATGGTGTCACATGGTTTCCTTCCTCCTTCAGGTAGCACCTGCATGGCAGCAGTGAGATTTAGCACTCCCATGCCTCCCATGGGAAAGGAGGGAAAAGTGCCCTAAAGGAAACAAGGCATCCATTCAGTCTGAGAATCAGGTTTGACGATTATTCACACTCCATGTAGTAGGGCCACAGGGAACGAGAGCAAAAAAATTCCTTACAGCCAATTCATTTTAGCCCTGAGGCTTGGAGTGGTTAAGTGACTTTTCCAGGGCCCTTCACAAAGCTACTTACAGAGCTGGTCTCCCAAGGCCCTGGTTCTGATATTCAGAGCATGTTCTTAACACTCTATACAACTTGTAGACGAAAATAGTGTAAGACCCTCATCTTCTGAGAGAGTCAAACATACCTGAATAACTGGAGGACCGTGTTTTGCAACATAGTGGTAAGTATCATATAATATCTGTTTAATGTATGTCCATAGTCCCACATCTTTACTGCTAGCGTTTGAGAGAGTTTATATACATCCATACAATAGGACAAAGATTTTTTTAATGAGAAGATTAGGATGAAGGGTCCATAAGAACTGGTTAACAGTATGAATGCAAGGGTCAAGTTCATGCAAAGAGGTGTCTGCGTACAGCCCACTCGTTTTTTGTTTTTTCCTTTCTAAAGTTAGGAGAAATACAGTTTTTCCTAGTACTAAAGCCTGCAATGACTTTTTCTCTAGGCAGTTACATTTAGGTATTCAGAAACTTCAAAACTCTCCAAACAGCCCTACAAATACATACATAGTTAAGTTTTGAACACTTACCTTTTCTAGTGCTTTCAGCAGATGCTCAGAGTCATGTGATAGGAAGTGCCAGTACCAGTCAGCAAGGAGCTGAGAGTGTAGTCCAAGCAGTTACTGTCACTTGTGCTCTTGAAAGACACAGTAATCAAACAGTTTAAAAGGAACGAATGCACTGTATGACCATGACTGTTTCTCTTAGCCAAGCTTTTGAGGAAAAAGGACATAGAGCAATGAAGCATTCAAGGACCCAAGCTCCACTGAACACATATGTCGTATTATTTGGATAGATTCATATGCCTTGACAAACAGGTGGGTTCACAGCCTCTTAGGAAAATCAAGGCACCCATGTCTCATACCTAAATACACACAAAAACTTTTTAACATCAGTGTGCCTCTATTATGGTCAACTTGTAAAGCTGTAGTAATAGAAGCAAGTTCCCTTTTATCTCATTTGAACTCCCAATGTATTGTCCTTGTGCGAAAAAAATGGTTTTCTGCATTTAAAACAACTTTTAGAGATCCTTATAAGTCATGTGTGATAAAAATTTCTTATTTTTCCAGGAAAAAAAAGTAGCCTTTAGTTCCCCATGTGTTCCGTATCTTATGTGCTGGTAAACATGGTGGATGGCCCGCACGTCTGAGTAGGGTCAGGTAGTAGTCTTTAGACGAAGACCCAAGAATTCCCTCAAAAAAATATTCCTACATACAATGATGTTGGCATGTAAAATTTTCCTATTAGGAATTTTCATTCACTCATTTCAGTAATGCACCTACAGTCTATTTAGTTTTAAGCAATATACCTCCCGGGTGAACCCTCCAAGTTAAATTACAGAGATGGTGAACATAAGCCCAATTCACGTTGGAGGGCTTCTGCCAAAACTTGGGATTTGCATTTGACAGTAAACGATCTTTTTGTTTTTTCTTGGAAGTACATTTGATAACAGAAGCTGTTGCTTAGTGAGGCCCACTGAGGTTGTGACAGTAAAATCATATGATCAACTTAAAATAAAATGTTATCAATTTCTTATAACTGAAAACATGATTCTAATTCACCCCAAAGTGGCCTTTATACAATATGATTCCACTTAAAGGGAACCCAGATATACCTGTTTTTCTGCTGTACATATTTATATTGCCAAATCCTAGCTAAGAACGCTGACTCTCACCAGGATATTTAGGGGTAGTTTGAATATAAGTAGGGTGCCACGGTGGGTGGTACTAGAACATTCCCCCTCAGGACTGGAATGTCCCAGCCTGGAAGTACACGCTGCTTTCCAGGGTTCTAAGTTTCAAGAGGTCTATTACAAGGCCTAACAGCCATAAACAAATGGCTTTCAAGTGATAATTTCCATTGTGTATCTTCATGAACTAAAAATTCAAGTATAATGAGTTTGATTATAAGTGAGTGTTACCTTTAGGCTAATGCAACACTGCCTGGAGTTTGGTGCTTGGGATGTGCACTCTCAGGAATAATAGAAATATTTAAGGCATGTAACTGGTGCAGACAGTAAGAAAATATGTTTAAAATGATAAAGTGACTCACTCCCTCAGTATATCGATTAACACCCAAACCACCACCAAAAATGAGGGAGCTGGCACTCCACTGGAAAAGACAAGGCATCAAAAAATGGTCAAAAGTACCTGTTTCCAGGGGCATCCGGATGGCTCAGTCGGTTGAGCATCTGACTCGATTTCAGCTCAAGTCATGCGTGATCTCATAGTTCGTGGGTTCAAGCCCCACAACCAGCTGTGTGGTGATGGCACAGAGCCTGCTTGGGATTCTCTCTCCCCCCTCTCTGCCACGTTCCAGCTCTTGCTTGCTCGCACACATGCTCTGTCTCTCTGAATAAATAAACAAACATTAAAAAAAAAATACCTGTTTGCAAAATGTCCCAGTGGTTGCCCAGCTGATATTATGCCACGGAGAAAAATGCATGGTCAAATAACAGTGATGTCCTTTTATCTGCCTTCTTTTGCCTTGCTCACCAAACCTAGCTGGGTAGTTTGGGTATCTAAGAACAGTGAAGAAAATCAACATGATTAGATTATCAGCCACTGTGCATCCTGTGCCAAACCAACGGATACTGTTTTCTAATCGAGCATCCCCAGGTGGAAACACTAAAACACATAAAACTTCCCCCTACGTGAGTTATAGCATACAGAATATCATTAGCTGAAGTTTGTTGAGCCCTTATAATTTAGCTCATAACTCATCAAAGGGCAAGAAATGTTATTAAAAGTTACAATCTTACTCTATTGTTATTTGAATTTGCTACAGAATGATGAAAGGGCAGTAATAGAATAATCATTCCTAGAGTGTACTTATCCCTCATGTAGAAAACCGTCTTAAGAAACCAAGACTTGTAATTTATCACAGAGGAAACTGGCTTACTTTCTAGATAGAATATTCAGTAAAGTAGCAGGCCCGTAATCTGGGAGGAGGGAGGATACTGTGCTTCTTTACAAAATGGTGTAGACGATACTCTGGTCCAGCCTTCACCCAGATGAATAATTTGGTGTTGAACAATTCTGGCAGCACTTAGATGTGTTAAGTAACATAAAGTTCAAAATGAATGGTGATCAGAGGAAGGTTGTGTGTATACTCAGGTAGGTAGATTTTTCACATACCTCAGTCTTTTTTTCTCCTCTCCAAACTCAATGGGATTCTGAAAAAGGAAACAGAATCAAAATGAAACAGATGATTGAGGAAGTATCGTACTGAAATGCCAAGCACTGTTCATGCATGTTATTGGAAAACCCTGACTTCAGATCCAGCACTATTTTCCCATGCTCTAGAACATTGTAATGAAGCTTAGCTGTATACAATATCAAATCTGATTCACAGTAGTCCTGTGATAATGTTTATATGTACACTGAGTCACAACGGAAGATCTAATTCTTATTGAGGTTGAGGATTGTAGCCAGTAAGAGTTTGAAAGCCACTCCTTTAAGCCATTTTGAATTTTTTTTTTTTATTCTTGCAGCCAAAAGCAGTCACTTTGCTAAGTACTTTACATCTTCTCATTTAATCTTAAAAACTCTGTTGGCTAGGTTTTATTACACCACGTTAAAGATGAGAGAACTAAGCCTTAGACGGACTAAGATGCCCAAGCTAACACAGTAAGTGTCAAATATGAGGCAGGACTTGGAATGTAGGTAAATCTGGTTCTAAAGCCCCCACTCTCAATCATATCAGACAGCCTCCTTACATGATACAAGACATATGTTACTGCAGGCTTTTCTGGACCATGTGCTAAACCAAAGACTTCCTACCTCACCTTAAGCCTCTCAACAACTCTGGGAAATTGGTTTCATTATCTGCATGTTACAGATGAGGAAATAGATGTACACAGGTCTTAAGTAACTTCTCCAAGGTCAGTAGGTAACAGGGACTGAACACAAGTCAGGAGGACTCCAGAACATTTCCACTGTACCTTAGAGAGCTGCCTCTCTTCAGGGCCTATCCAGATTTTGTGGGGCCTGAAATTTCTACGAATGAGGGTAGGGAACTCTAAGTTTGGGTGCAAAGTTACTT